TTATGTGTGAGTTGATTTGAGACAAATTCGATATTATGAGCACAATTCTATTTTATAAGAATACTTCACTATGGCCTATCACCTCAACATAGCACGGGGTATCAGCGGGTGCCGAACTGTAATGTACAAGTGTATACTCTGGCAGGACCCCCAACCGTGAATTACTTCCACTTCGCCGAATGCCTAGCCAAAGCAGGCCAGGCTAAATCTCCCGACGTCTACTTGTAGGTAAAAAACGCTTGCGGTCCAACCTCGCATTCCGGAGCCGGCATCGCAAGTGGAAGGTAAGAGCACTGTCTTGTAAGTCTTGCTGGGAGAGAATCCAATTATTCATTCAGCAAGATCTGAAGAAAATGCTAGACGTCGGACCTCAATCAACTCGCCTGGTGGTAACAAAACCAATGTCACTATTTAGGTGCCAAATGCATCAGACAAACGGCGTCTGGGAGACTCGCCAAAGACTATCTCATGCTCTGTAGATACGACGTGCGTCCGCTCGACGCCAACCTCCACCATCTGACGCTGCAAACACACCAAGTACCTCTTCATCGTCTTTAGAAAACGAAGCTCAGGAACAAGGAAGTGCGACAGATAGTGATGAACTTGCTCACCACAAATTATGATAGCTCATAATTTGTGGTGAGCAAGTTCCACCCAAAGGCTTTGGAGGCTTTGGCTTTGTCATCCACCAATGTATCGTCGATTTGCATGGATCCTGTCATCTCATTAGATATCCTACCTACACCTCCACGCCAGAAGACCTGCAACATCATCAACTGCTATCCCTCCCCCCACATCACCAGCTGACGAATCAAAACTAGATGTTTTCTAGGATGGCGTAGATGACGTCGTCTGCATCGAGAAATCCTTCTGCGAGTTTCTTGTGGGCGATCAAAACGAAAATCGGGATGCCCTTGAGAGAGGAATATAGGATCTGGAAGACTGATGAAAATACCATCTGCATGAGAAAAAAACGCCGTTGGACATAGGAATCGCCCAACGGAACGACTCCCACGGAGATCGACCTATTCTCATCGGCCGAGGATGGATCTTGCTTAATGCCTCAGTGGTTTCATCCTTCTACAGTGGCTACAATCACCGCCTCCTTCGAGCGAAGATACGATTCGGTCTAAAGCTGGTAAAGAAGGTCTGTCACATTGTCGCAATAAGGAAGGAAGTCGTTTATAATGGTAACAGGCTGGAGGAGCTCATATCAAGTTGTGGCTAGTCCATCGAGGAGGGCCCAACGTACAACTAGGCCTATTGCGAGCCTGCGCAGAGTGCGCCTCAATTGCTTCCGGGAAGTTGGAACGCTTTTCGAAGACCACTAGGAATTACTCAAAAGAGGATCCTCAAGGCAAGATCAACCCATCTCGATCGACTGCACCCCAACGCCAGTTCGCAGAACACCCTTGCAGTAGGATCTAGGGAGTACAGGCAAACCAAGATACTGGAGGTAGCCAAAGTTAGAAAGTCTTAAGAACTGGCGAAGGGACCTCTGTGAACATCACGTACCGCTGGCTGCACCCTGCACTACTGAACGAAGATGAAACTCCGAATTCTCTCCAATTTAAGATGAATCTATCGCGAAGAACTTTTGCACCAACCTCTTCCGCTCATCAACACCAGTACCGACGCCCGTTGTTCCCACCAGAGAAACCACGAATTCTACCTGTTGAAGTGCACGTCAATTCAGACCATGAAGACGTCCACGGCTCCAGGACCAGAGCATCTTTCCGTCAAACTTCTGCGAGCCGGAGGACAACGTCTATTCTCGCGTCGAACCTGACATCTTATCTTCAGAAAGAGAGGACTCCCAACAGGGTCAGGCAAGAGGTGTGGCACACGACGCTAGTTGCGACCCCCCCCCCTTATTGCTGTCTCAATGAGACCCCCTGAACTATACCCAAGATAGCATTACTTGAAGGCTCTGTCAAACATAACGGGCTGCATATTCATAATTAGCCCGTCAATTAACCCCTGTAGACAATGTTTGAGCGAATTCTGAAGTTTCAAGATACTGGGCCACCTGAGTGAAATAGCCATTTCCCAGCATGATTAACTTTGTTTCAAAGGTAAAGTAGCCAGCTCTTTCTGCACTTAAGACAAAACACTACTCCTTCTTTGGCCACGTCAAAAATCTCGCTTCAAAAGAGCTTCTAACTTTGGAATTAGAAGCAACCAAAATCTTGTTTTTCCTATTTTTCGCTTTCAGTGGCTGTGCTTTCACCAAATTTTACTCTGAGCTAAGAAGACCAATCAGGCTCAAATCATTCCTATAGAATCTACGAGGTCTAGGCTATCGATTCATATAAAATAACGTTCGCTAAAAATGTTTTTTGATATAGTTAATGGGGTGTGGCACCAGTGTGGCTGCCACAGCTTTTTAGGAGTGGTGCCACACCCCTTTAACTTACCTTCGAACAGGTCAAATAGCTGCGTTTTTTATATCTTTGTTACTGCTTAACCTTCTTCTTTATATAGCAGAAATTTCATATGAAAACGTTTCTTCAAGTGCAAGATATAATCGTTCTTCCTTACCTATGCAAAGGTAAAATACTGATAAAATACTGCGTAAATATTGGAATACGGTAACATGCTAAGTCTGCGCCACTACGTGAATCGCATGGGAAGGCGACAAGAATGTATATATTCGATAGCTAAAGCCTCGTAATCTACATTAAAGTGATTTGAACCTGTGGCCTTGTCTAGCCTGAGATATTGAAAACGAAAAATGGAACAAACGAGATTTTGGCTTGCTCTTAATCCCTTAAGTTGAAGGTCATTTGAAGTAGGATTCCTAATGTGAGCAAAGAAATAGTAGCGCAAAAAGAAATAATTAACTTACCTCCGAAAAAAGTAACATGTTTGAAAACGACCATCTTTTTTAGGTGGTCCTGTATTTGGAAACCTCACAATACGCTGAAACTTGGGCCACAGGGATTATTTTACTTGCTAGTTACAAAACGATGCTCTTATATGCTTACTGTACGTATACGATAATGGGTCAAACATCAATGTGCTAGTATTTTGTATGGCTGGCCTATTTGACATTTTTAACAAATATCATGGTATGCGAGCAGCGAACGCCTTGATAACGACCCCCCACCCTCCCCGATTTCTCAATACGACCCCCCCCCCCCGGGTGTGGCATGCCACACCCCACGCTTGACCCTGCTCTCAACCAGTGGAGAACGTCAAGAACCACCCTTCAAAAAGAATGAAGCCCAACCCCAAAAACAAACTGGATTTCGCAAAGGATTCACTTGCATGGACCACATTTTGACGGTTTCGAGGGTCATAGAAGTCTGCCGGGAGTACCGACTGCCTCTCGTCCTAACCTTCGTCGACCACGAGAAAGCCTTTGACAGCGTCGAAACCAACGCCATCCTGCCAGCGCTAATCGATAAAAGAGTGGACCCAGCTTACGCGAGGACATTATCCAGCTGCTACAAAGACTACAACGACGATGCAGCTATTGCATCGCTCCCTGACCACTCTAAATGGGAAGGAGTTCCGACAAGGCGACACTATTTCGCCGAAGCTGTTCACCGCGGCCTTGCAGTGTCTGATGAAGTTACTGGACTGGTAAGTAAGGTAAACGAGCTGATGGAAGAATCTGTCAAACTCCCGTTTTGCGGACGACATCGTTTTCTTTTCGAGCAGTATCACTGAAGCAGTGACGATGCTGAAGGAACTAAACGAAGTTGGAAGAAGACTCAGTTCGTGAAAAACGCCCTCTGCGAAGATGCAGAAATGGAACTGGAAGGGACCCCCATTACGGAGGCGCCTTCTTGCGTGTATCTTGGACGTTCGATGAAAGTGGGAGCGATTTGAAGAAAGAATCAAACAGGGGAGGAAGAGCAGCCTGGGCAATTTTCAGGCCTGTGAAGGAAGCACGACCAATCGACAGACGCGGTGTTTCAAGCCCACCTATTCGACTCAACTGTTCTCCTGGCGCTTTGTCACGCAGCTGAGATTTGGGTCGACACTCAAAAGTTTACGGACCATCCACAGAGCGCTCGAGTGCAGTCTTGAACTTGATCCGACACGAACATAGAACAACATGTCGGATTTCGCAGCACGGATATGAGAAGAACGTCCCGTCTTTGTGACCCAGCGGAATATTGCAAAAGCAAAGCATCGAAGGACCTCACATCATGAGAAGATCAGATGACAGATGGACCCACTAATAAAGGGTTAGTTGCGAAGCAAAATGTCCCGAGGAAAAGCTAGGGTCAGACGCTCGTGAAGAGATCGATCACCTGAGAAATCAGCACGACTACCGCACCTGGAACTCGCGGGCGTAACTACAAGAGAGAAAGGGAGCAAATGGCGTTATCTGTGCTGGCGCCTGCACGCCACATGAAATCAAGCCATCTAAGTACATATTCAAGCATGTGTATGCATGTGTAGCAGTATCTACTTCTCTATACCTGACCGCGATCCGTATAGGTATCATAATAGCACTGCTTTCGGCTTAGTGAGGCTCCCAATCAGTTCCCCATAAGGAACAAAAAAATGCCCTTGCCATTTTTGTTTAGCCATCCGATAGGTTTCGTAGAGAATTTTTAGAGCCAATGAATATCTACTGGGTGTGGAGTACAGGGCATTTGAAAAATAGTGACGAAAACACGACCGCACGCTACACGCACGCCACTTCCCGAATCCGCATTTTCTTGATTTTAATCTCTGGTCAAATGGTTCTTTTGATTACGTATGCTATTAGACACTGGAAGTGACTGAGCTGAGCAATAAGATGTTGTCTTCATGTATGAACATTTTATGCTCCTGTCGGCGGAAAGTCCGCAGTAAAATCGTCGTCACGATTTTATGAATGATCTATAGTTCGTACATGGAGCTCGAGCGAATCAAAGCTCGCATCTCGCCCCGAAATCGCTAACGCAATATACTTCAACGATAACTTTGAAAGTCCTCCGACGAATCAAAATTTCGGTTAGTGTCAGACTTGCCGGATACTGAATGCTTAGAAGAGATCTGAACCAATTACTTTATTATATTAATGAATATATTACATCAGCGAAATCGCTATATATCTCCCAAACATGAGCAAACGCAAAAGCAAGTGTAAAAAATTGCGTATAGTAATTTAGTGATAACGATAGTGATAAGAACAACATTGAGCTTAACTGTACACAAAATTCAAGCTTGAATAAATTCCTTTGTGAAGACCATATCTAACACCTCTGAACAAGGATATGCGCATAGATAGATACAACATTGATATATAATGAATATATATGAAATCTCATCTCGTTTGAAAGAATCAACTGTGAATGGTGTGGAGCGTTCGTGGCGAAAGTAGAGAGTATAGAGAGATGTACAACAGAGTGAGGAGCAAGGAAATCGCATATACGGCAGGGTGCTCGAAAACATGAACGGACGCTGTGGGTAAAACATGGCAGTAGATACATTGCAATTCATCCGCTAAGAATAACAGCATCATTGCATATCAGCCTTAAACGATTACAATGACAATAACTTATTATTAATGATTTGTTATACATACATATAAAAGAGGTATACATAACCTATAGCACCGGTCGCTATTTAAGCAAATCGTTTTGATCCACCCGAATTGGAGAGTACACCAGCTTGTGTTGAGCTTGAGACAAACAACAGCCGAAAAGCGTTCTAGTGGAAAATCGACTTCGAAAAAATTTGTGCAAGTCTATTCGCATAGATTCTATGCTTCGCAAAAAAATATTTGCAGCTGTTGTCGTCTTTGAGTTCAAAATTCATCCCGTCGCTCTCAAACTGTACAATATTATAGCCTAATTTGACAAAAAGCGACGGTATAAATCTCAACTTTTTGCATATACACAACACTCCCTGTGTGCACTACCTCAAAATAGAGGAACGATGCCAACCGGAGCACAAATTAACAACGATCTCATATTTTGGATAGTAACATATGGTCATGGTAAAAGCCAACTGGAAAGTGTTTTACAGATATTAACATTGCTGTCATAGAACTCTTGAGAATGAAAACAAAAAAAACAATAGATATTTCCAAAAAAATTTTTGTATGTACAAGCGAAATGGCATGTAAGAAGGCAAAGCAACAAGGAGGAAAGGCTTGATAAAGCAAATCAAATTAAATAACCATTTCCCAACAGCTTCAGTGAGCGAGTAGTGGAGCAAAAAGCAGCAATACGGCCTCAAGGCCAGTAGGTTAACGTATCACAAATTTACAAGCCCCCAAAAAGCCAAAAAAAGTATCTTATGACGAGACCTATACCACTGTAACGGTATTCTCGTTAAACTACAGATGCTAGCACAGGCGGGTAGTAGACTGATGCTACATTCAAAATCAGACGTAGGTCGGAGTGATCACAGTCCACTATAGAGCGAACGCGCTCTGGTGATAGTGGACTCTCTGACGACGGTGAATCACGTGAGACCTGTAATGAAACTTCGGATGTGTGCTGGGATAAAACCAGATATAACACGGTATTTTCACGGAAGCCCAAAAAATAGGGATAAGCGATATTATCTAGGAGAAAAAAGAGACTAAAGTCACGAAAAAACTATAGAAACCGAAAACTGTGAATCCAGCGACTTACAATTTCCACGAGGCTCAAGCTTTTGCCGAGCACATCAGATAGTGAATCTTCCAGATAGCTGATTAACAGTCTGGGTGCATAGCCAACATGGTAGAGATCGCAAAACTGTTCCAACATTGACACTATTGCCTCCGATGGTGAAACAACCTCACCCCAACCTTCATTAGATGCCACCTTAACACATCTCACTGTATTGCAATTAACAGAAAATCTTCCAAAAATGAGTACCTGCACACTCCATGTTTGTGTATCGGCCAAAATTATCACATTATCGGGAATTTGAGCGGCGTCTCCACACACGGACGACGAGGACATGGATGATGATAGCGATAAAGCTGCAGCTCTATGACAAGCTGTGTCCTCACAACGGACATCGTCAATCATTCTGCAACAGATTGCACCTGCCCAACTTCACTAAACATGAATTTTGCTGAATGCACTTCACAAACGCTTCATTAATATCTGTAGGGCTCCCAACAAGGCCAGACAGCACGAAATGTGAAGAGTATTCCGACGAAGGGCCAGCCAGTAACGAACGGCCCAGTCCATCTGCGGGTGTCATGGTCGCGAAGATGTCATTGGAAGTAGAATTGTTGTGTGCTTCGCGACTTCGATTACCTATCACTGAAGGCAAAGATTCCAAAGAACAGGACGAAAGCACATCGTCATCAACACCTGCAAATACTTCTTCATAAAAAAACTGAATTAAACTAAAATTTAGTTCTAAAACGGAGATCTAAAGAAAGCATTATATACTAGCACGTCTCAGACCTTTGGTAGGGCTGCCAATAACATCAAGTGGGCATTCCGACGAGGGACTAGCAAGTGATTCTGGTGTAGCCGCTGCACATGGAGAGAATGACTGAGCGATGGGCAGCTGATAGCAACGCTCGTCCTCTGAATTTCAAAATTTTATATATCATTTAATGAAACAAGACACTATGTTGCCAGGGATAACTCGAAAAAAAACCAACCTTTTTCATGTATAGCTGAGCATCTCACAAAATACGAAAGGACTTGCAAGATGCATGTAATTAGATCGGTATCCGTACCGGTTACAACCGTCTGAAACAACAAATCTGCTCAAGCTGTTCACACAGTAGCTTCAACAACAACGATCTCGAACAATCATTTCTGAGCTTTTGTTCAGAAATAATCTCTTCCAATTACGAAAATTATTCGAGGCACTTGTCACGCCATAAGGGATGTTATCACATAGCGCACGGCTATTAAAGAGAATGTTAGCACCCAAACACGTTGTTCAGAAGGTTATCAGGCTATGGCGAGTTTTTTTTTTTTTAAGATTAAGATTAATTGTCATCCCATTAGAGAAAAAGAAGTGAGTCATAAAATAAAAGGAGAGAAAAATAAAATTGCACAAGGAAACTTACCTTCGCCATTCGATGAGCGCTTCCTACGCTACCACTGATCTCTAGATACTGGGCGATTTGTGCGTTGTATGGCATACAATGGGCTTCATCGTTGTGATTCTGAGCATTCCAGTAATAATGAAACACTCGCAAAACGACTGTGTAAATTCTCACCGAACCAACAAGCGGATTTCTCTCTTGAATATGTGTTGGAGCATGTAATGGTGGTGCAACGCTTGCCACCCACGACATATGATGCATCAGAACAGTCGAGATTACATTCGACAAAAAGCTGAAATGGCATACATAACAATGAACGACGCTAACCAGGAAGTGATTCGCACTCACAATTTGGTATGCTTCGTATCGAGTTTTTCCACCAGTCGTGTCAGTTGCCGACAGAAATCCGCCACAACAACGTTCTCGTTGTGATCGCGTTCGAGCAAGCTCAACCATACAGGATGACGAAGTCGTGGAGTGTTATGTAGTTGACAAACTGATTTGCAAAACTCCTGCCATGCCTAAACACTGACAATTAAGACTGATAGAACAACGAAATCAAATGCAAATCGAAAATTCATGCGGATTTTTGCCATCAACATGTACAAAGAAAATATATGCAGGGTGTCCCAAAAGTGAGTACACACTTTTTAATCGTCGATCACTCTCTTTCCATAAAGTTTAGCTTAGCTTCAAGTAGCTGTCAGTAAAGCAGGCTCAACTTAGACTAACAGTATGCGCGAATTACCCATGTCTTTTCATGCTATAGGATTACAGTAGGAACTTTAGCGTTTTACCATTATAAGATAGACCGTTTGAAAAAAAGTTCCAAAAATTATGGAAAGTTGTGTAGCAGTGTTTTCGGACATGCTGAAATCATTAAACGACTTTTTATAGTTGTTTTAGTGATCTATACGGCTTTATAATATTGTTAGATATACTGAAAAGAAATATTGCAGGTTGCTTAGGATAACTTCTTGAAACAGATTTAGTAAAGGGTGAACTTCATTTATAGTCAGCGACTCAATTAGCCCAACAATAAAGTTTTCGCTTGTTCATTTTGAGGCAAAATATTGCTATTAAAGGCTCAAAAGTCTCTTCAGAGTTCCTACCGTAATCCCACAGTAATTAAAAGAAAGGTGACTCACTCTATGCTGCAAATGTAAGTTGAAGCCTGCTCTACCGGATGATGCTTGAAGCTAACTGGCAACAGACTTTGTTGAAAAGAAGTTACTAACAATCGAGAAGTGTATACTTGATTTTGGGCCACCTTGTACAACAAAACATCCGCATAGTATTTACCCACCTTATAAACATTGACAAAAAACGTGGCCGAGCAGGCTGCCGCATTTGTGATGCGCATTTCGAGACGTGACATTTCCGCTTCAACGAGAGGGATATGCTAAATAAAGATCATCACATCATAGCTCCCCTCCTCAGAGCCAAACATACATCACGCGATTTCATCGCCTCGCCATTCTTCCGACAAGACAGCTAGGACGAATCCAGTGCACGCCACTCATCTTACATTACGGTTGCGCTAGTTCCAACGCGACTAATCGCGATATACTATCACAGCCGAAAGGCAAGATGACCCGGTATGAACGAACTTGTACCAGTTGTCTTGTCGAGTGGATCGCGAGGCGACGACGCGTGAAATTTACCCGAGGCCTTACACCATGTCATGAATTTCCGTCTTCACCTGGAACAAAAAATTCTTCTCAGCAGAATTCAGCATGATGCCAAGTCCAACTTGGCGGCCATGTTCGTCATCGGTCTGTGAGCCGCATGAACTCAGACGCGAACGCGACTTCCAGCGTGTCGATGGAGCTGAAGTACGATAATTATTAGACATGGCCCATTTTCCCAGAGCAAAGGGATTATCAAAAAATCTAGAAACATCAATTTTTAGTATTAAAAAACTTACATTGTTCGCAAAGACTTGTTTTGTGAGACATTTGTAAGCGACGATCGCGAGAGAGACGAAATGCAGTTGGCGGCGAAAACGGACGAGCTTCCTCAGTTGTCTCGTCGTCAAGTTGTAGACTAGCATTTCGAATCTAAATCAGCATAAACTTTTTTATGGAACAAAATCTAAACTCGCTTCCTCACTCGTTTGAAGGCTTCGGGTGGCGCAGTTGATGAGATACAACCGTGCTTCTGCTGAAGTCCATTTATACTATCCATGGATCGCACGGTGATATAGTGTGACTCCGAATCCGATGACTCTAGCGAATCTGCTGCAACTCGCATATCCCTGAATTGACAAAAAGTAAGAGAAAATGCTATTTACAGAAAAAATAAGAGACTGATTTAACTTTGATTGCTGCAAACACAAATCCCACTTACTTTGAGCTCAATCGCGGTATCATAAATAAGCGACTGACAAGAAGCCGTTGATCGTCGCTAAAAATCCGACCACTGTACACTCGAACTCTCTGATCTATAGCCTAGCCAGTATCTCAAAACTTACGGAATGGTGTGAATTTTGAATGAATCGTTGCCTACTGCTGTTGGCATTGCTCCAAACAGCATTTGTGAAATTGTCGCTATATCTCGGCGCCGTTTGAGAAACTGCAAATCATTCCGATAATTCATATGTTAAAGGCAGATTTGTGACACTTTAACAAGACTACAGTGTAAAAAGGCACCTACTTGAAACTTTTTGCAAGCCGATAACTGAGCATTTGATGGGAGAACTCTGTTTCCAACCGGAACAATTGAAGCTGTGTCGAATAGTACACGTTGTTCAGCTTCTATCAGTACCATTCTAAGCATGTCGGGACGAAGTTCCCGCTCACTTGATGTACTAAAACGTACGATATCCAGCATGTGGGATATATACTACAAAAAAGATCTTACCAAAACGAATCAAAGACAGGACTCCTTGTGACTGTATGTGTGCGTAGCTCTCTTGGTGCATTCGGTAGATTCGACGAAGCGGTTTCTTGCGGGGTAGTTTTTGACCCAGGAGGTTGTGGCTGCACAAACGCATTCGTGTCCGTCTTACGACGTTTTGTGGCGGGAAAGATAGTCTTTATGAACGACATTTTCCGATTTCCTAAAAATAAAGAAACAATAACAATACCGCAGATCGCTGCCAAGAAACAGCAGAATAAAAATATTCTATTTTGTAATGATTGCCAGGAAAGGGAGAACACAGCCCCCTAAGAAATTTCAAGGTTAAAAAAATTTGAGAATCTTTGAGATAAAGGTTTTAGCACAACAAGGTGGTAACGGAAGCATACAGGCATGTGTTATCAACTTGCTGGCCGTCCGTCTATGCATTGGCGATCTAGCAATGATAACGATATGATAGAAAAGAGGAAGAGATACAAGATACCTACCCAACAACCACGTATACACACCACTTCCTCTCGACAGTGGCTACGCCGCTAGCATCGTAGCAAAATAAATTACTGAAAGAAAGAATCATATAAAAAGCATGTCGATCGGATACAACAGCAGAATGGAGCACGATTATCTGAATGTTGCGAACAAATTGACAGACTAGACGCACAGAGTTCAGACTCACAAAAAGAGAATCGTGCAGACACACATAAAATCAAAATTGATTTTTTTCTTGGCTAATACAATGCTAAAGCCAACATCAAAGTGCCATAAGACTACCACGAAGGTCGTACTGTCCAGTAACAGCAGAAACCTTTCAAGAAAAAGAAGCTACTTTGAAAGACAGAAGCAGCTTCTAAGATCACACAGCGAATTATATGCTCTCTACCAGCATTAGAAAAGCAGACATTGGCGCAACTGTCGGCATGCACGAGACCAAAATGCAGGCAATATAGTTCATCAAGATTCATGACGGAAATCGCTAAGTGGCTTCCGGTTCTTGCAATCGATATCGAACACCAACGTACACTACGCAGCCACTCCAATGAAACACTGTCGGACTGCACTTTGATAATGACATTGTTGGTTTTGATTCATGAAATCACTCAAAATCTGATAAGACTTTCATTAAGATGAGATCTTTTTTCGTTACATTGAGATCTACAATGTAGAAGAGAGCATTAGTTTCGAAAAAAATCAATTTCCTCTATTTCCTAACTATTTTATTTTTTAACTCAAAAGGGGATGGTCAGAATTTAGCCATTCCAAACAAACCATATATCATCGAAATTGCCTTGGAACGCTGCACTTAAAATGTTTACTATATTATCTGCTAAGCGACTATCTAAAAGGGGTTGTGAGCGTTTGAATATGAGCATTTAAAGGCAGCGTACACCCAAAATTCCGTCTTCCATGTTTTTATTGTTATCGGGCCTTTCCATGGCGCTGAATAGGGATATGAAGTTCAATTTAGAAAACTTCAAAATTGCCCCTTTCTGAAGCCCTAATTTGGCAGACGTGAACGAGTGCCCCAGCGCTTGTCATGTTGTATGCTACAGGAAACCCCGTCGTATGCAACAGTGCCACATAACAAATTATGTGTCTCGACATTGCTCGCCATGTCAGAACACGTCTCGGGACAATCCGTGAGAGGGTGGAGCGCAAAAGAAGGCGGAGCGCAAAGAAGATCCAGTCCGTTGTCTCCTTTTGTGGGCAACATTAGGGGAACGGACCATCGCGGTTGGTCTACTTTTAGGGCCTGCTGGTAGGATAAGTAGTGGTCTGGGATGAGTAGATTTTAGGTGGACGCTGCCTTTGATCAAATCCCAATAGACAAAGTGCGTTAGAAGGCAGCCTAAAACGTGATGACAAAGTTGCAGGAAAGAAATAGGCTAAAGAACGGTGGACACTCACTACTCCTTCCAGATAGTAGCTTAGCAGATAATAAACTTGAGATCAGCGTTTCAGGGTTTCTAGGAAAGTGCGACGATATGTAGTTTGTTTGGGATAGCTAGGGTAAGTTCTGACCGTTCCCGATGATGGTCAGATGGAATCCAAGGATGGACGAAATATCTCTTGGAGAAATTTCTCTGTTATTGCGCAATGCGTGGAAATAACCACATCGACTAACGTAACAATGACGCATATGCGATGACGTGCGCCTCGCTGTGAAGAAGGAAGTCCATGAACAATTGCTAGACCAATGTTGGATCAAAGAAATCAAAAGCAAGCATAATCGCTGCATAGGCCAGAACTTTCTTACAGACAAGGTAAAAGCAAAAGCCAAGCAGAGTGTTGTGAAAACATACACGTTAAGTTTCTTAAGGCCATACAACATCAATTATTTGCAGCTCTCGTTACGCAAAAATACAGGAGCGAAATTTGAGCCGTATTTATACGTAGCCTTTATAAAACGTCGGCACCAGTTTAAAGAGTTGATTTCTGCTCTGACCATCCACTTCTTTTTGATTTCCCACTATTTATCGATGCTAATTCAATCTTTTGGTTCCTCTTATGTGTGCGCACTCAAAGAGACTAGAATTCATAGTCTGAACATCAGTTCAGTTCTGCTTTTTCTCAAAGTTAGCTAGAACTTTACACATTCGAAAAGAACTCGGAACAAGTTTTACGTGGGCGCAAAGTCAATAACTTAGGCATCAATTCTTCTCCTTTTTATAGGAAGCAGGAAATATAGGTGGGTTATCTCAACAGAACGGAACAACTGCTTCGCATTATTGAGTCGAGATCGAGACAAGAAAAGAGGAGAACATTACTTGAAGAGCAAAGAAGAGGTGACTGCAACCAAAATGCACTGCACACAAAATACAAAGGAATTAGATGAGAACAGAAATTTTCTGATGGGAAGATTTTAATATGGAGGAAACTAAAAAAGGAAGATAATAAAAAAAGCATGATATAACTTCCATTCAGATGTCTCCAAGAAGCATTTCAAGTGCGAATAAGATTCGAAAAAAAATTCGTAGATCACAATATACCCAACAAACTTGGCACCATCAAGACTCGACTTAGGAACCCTGACATGTTCAGATATTTTACAGCAACCGATCTAATCGTGTATGCTGATAATAAACATGATATTAATTTTTTAAAAAGAGAAGCTTTGCTACGGATTTTTTTGATAGGTCTTCAGTAAGAGGCTTAGTGATGTGATAAGATCATCTTAGATGATAGGACAACATGTAGAAAGAAGCGGTATTTCAACTTATCCGATCATAAAGATTCCATTTATCTTTTGCGTGATGAGTGGCCAGGAAGCTGAGATGTGGAATCATACAATAGCCGATCGCAACCTCACAAAAAGGCGCTAATGAACGAAATCTGCACTACAAAACAGTATTTCACGAACTCTGAGGTTTCATCTATACCACCTCGTCGAAAATGTTCGCTGAGGAATGAATACCATGACCAACATGTTGAAAAACCTCGCAATTTTTCGAGAACTACTCAGGAACTGCAATTTCTGGTTTACCATGTGATAAGAGATGGCGCCGAGTAACCAATGGATTGGAGACCAAAGAGACACCAACGCTTTGGATGACTTAGGCGCAGACGCCATAGTGAAAATCAACAAAGTACAAGGTATCCTACACTTTTATACTGAATCAAATTTAAGTGTATCCTACGCACTTTATATTGAACCACATTGTCTATCAAGCTTGACGTCATGACTGTACCAACGCCCACATAACAACTATTGGATAATGTGGCCTCGCCTCCCCACAATCAAACGTCATTCAGGAAACGGGCATCAAGTTGAAAGTAATTTGATAGGAAAATTAAGAAGACGTAAAAAGTGGGAAAGCCATACATACGATATAACACCAGAATTTCTAATGAACCATCTCTGCGGCATGCGAAGAATGCGTACAAACTAATTGAATATACTTTCTTGGCAATTGGCAATGTCTGCTTGCGCAAAGAGCTTAGTGCTTTTAGTTATCGAATTGTCCGAAGTGATAATGAATTTATACATGGTTTCGCAAAAAATGTATTGAACGTTTGATCTTTATTGACTTTTTGCTACGAAAAGCTTTCTCAGTTTTTTTAGAGACTACATTGCATAGCTGCTCTGGCTTACACTGACAGTTTTAAGCAAATCGCAAGCGCTAATCATTACTGTAAGGTTACGATAGAAATTTCCTGTATGCAGCGCCGCCGTCTCGAAAGTTTCTTGGAAAATCGGGAAACGTGCAGCATGCCTTCTATATGTGCTGTTTTTCTGCTTAACCTTTTACATGTTTTGAAGATTTGCAAATATTATCATCCCATTTTTTGAAACATCGACAAAACAGCTATTACTGTACACTTGGCACATAAACCTGTGAAAGAAGCATTACGACGAAGTTTGAACTTCATAATTGAAGTAAGCGCCATTAATTAGCTAGTTTAAGACTTTTCAGGTTGCTTGGAATCTTTCTGAGCAAGATAGGGCACTCTTAAACAGAGTTTTTCCTAAAAATCCTACCGTAATCCTACAGTAATGAGGGGCAATTAGAGATTTGCCCATACTCAAAATCCAAGCTGAAGCCAGCTTCACATTATGTTACTCAAATGACAAATCCTCATATAAGAGAAATGTAAAAGATCAAATGTTCGATACATTTTTTGGAACATCCTGTATGGCACACATATTTTTTGTTTTACTTCTAAGAATGGATGTTTCGGGTTTATCCTACTTTTGACTTTAATATCGCGCGAGATCGAATAGAAGAAACAAAAATAAAATAAAATAATAAGCCACGTCGTAACACGAATTGCCGTAAAAGATTAAGAAATAAGCGATGAAAGGGTTTCAAATAGCGTTAAATAACTGGAGGCAGTCTACTGCTGAATTGAAGTTAAGAAATGAGGCAAAAGATGAGAGGAAAATAACTGAAAGTCGTTCGAAACATGCACTTCCTGGTTTGCGATGCGGGCACGTCTACCGCACTTCCAAAATGCACAACAGCAGACAAATTGATGCAAGGAAAAAACAAACGAGGAACTATGGAATCATCATCATCCCGCTTCCCTTTTCCCTTCACTGAAACCGACACAAGGAAATAAGTAAGCGAATATACCAAAAAGAAGCGATAGCTTTGCGAGTCAATCGATGATGTGCAAAGGAACGAACGGGTCGGTTGCTTTGGTTTGGCACGTGGCCAGAATCCGCCGCAGCTGAACGACGACCGACCAATAATGACGCCAGCCTAGCGCAATCCGCCAATCGACTCGTTGGCCGCCAGCCAAGTCACACCCCTGCACGTGATGGGGATCAGCATCGCAAAAACTGCAAGCGCTCACATGACGTGGTGCCGCCGGCCGCAGAGCATCGGAATTCGCTGCGGAGCATGCAATGCTGCAAGCGCTGCAAAGATTGGTTGTAAGAAGTAAAAAAGAAAACGATTTGGGGCAGCGTTTTATTTAGTGGTGGAGTCTCCATTTGGATTTCTTGAGGAACAGATTTAAACGTGGGGTTCCGAGCATGCCCGATCTGGTGCTCGTATCGGATAAAGCTGGGAAGAGAACTTGTCGTAATCGCCTAGTAAAATCTCTTGTCTAAAATAGTTAACTGTAAGCATTTTTCCTCTTTTACATGAAGCAGAGTATTCACCTTATCTATACATGATTCACACTTTAAGTTATTGCCAAACAAAAATGTTAGGTTACTTATGTTTATGTTTCTTACGTTTCCAAACAGGTTTGGTCTCTTTTGTGGCTCCTACAAATGCTGCACATTTGTCCAGTGTTTTGAATTCCTAGAAAGGGCACTTCACTGAGAATTGGAACGTAAATTCTGTTTGCGTGGAAATTATTTTCCTGTGAAGAAAATGCGCAAAGGAGTGAGATGGATACCCCCATTTTTTCATTGTGCGCAAATGTGAGAAAAATTCATTTCCAAATCAAAAAATTTCAGTCTAGCAGGTCGCAATTTTTATTGCTATTCGGTAAATAGAGATATTTACGTGTATCCAAATTTCAAATTACTCATTTCTACATCCATTCTAGCATAAACGAAGCTCAGAAAGTCAAAGAACGGAGCTTTGTGAATTTAGCCGAAGCTTTTATGGAGATTTGCACGCCAAAACGAATTAGTTTAGCTAAACAACCTAACCAACTAGTTCACCAAACTAATATAACCTCCTGGCAAAATATGACCAACATACTCTATCCTCTATTCGTCTTCATAATCTTATCTTCACTACAGAAATCAAACAGGACCATAGCCTTGAACCCACACTGTAGAATATGCGAAATTTGTGCCGTGAATGTGGAACTCTAAAGCCTATCTCAAGATAAGGTCAAGGAATCAACCCACCCCCAAACGTCAGGTAACCTGAGCTAACCTCGTGTCTAGTCCTGTGAATTTTAGCATTCTGGTTCAGGCTCTCCCTTCCTGATGAAGACCTTACGCTGGTTTGAAAATCACCGTCAAGTTCGCTGTTTACCGCATAATCATTGATGATTGCACAAAGACTTCGAAATCCAAATGACGTGTTTCTAAATTGTCAGACTACGAGATCAAGGTAGAAGAGGAATGAGGAGTCGTTCGGGTATGTGTATAATAAACGCGGGCCATTTTTGTACGACGATACCTCGTGTTTGATCCATTTCAAAAACTATGGGAAAGCAGCTGGAAAGGCATAAAACACTCCAGTCACTGAAAATATAATGTTGGGCAAGAGCGATGCGATTAATTCTATCATTAGTATCTTTCTTTCCCTCCACTCATGACATATCCATGGAGAATTGGATTTTCCTGTTGCGCTCAATATGGAATGTGCATAACAAGTTACCGGAGGTTCTCTTTCCCTTTTTAGCTTTGTGCCTAAGGTAGGTGCCAGACTTATCCCATTCAAAATATTCATCTGTTCACCCCATTCGATATTGGTCAGTTCAATGATTTGACCAATAGCGAAAGGGTGAACCCCATGAATCGGTTGAACCTTATAAGTCTGGCACCTATCTAACGGGTGACCGGCGGATCTCTTCCTCTCTTTAGCTCATATATATAAAGCGAAGTTTCTAGCTATTATGCGATGTTGTAGGAAGCAGAAATCAGGGTAGAGGGTTCAAGTCAGAAGACCTAGATACACTCTTGGTTAGCCATTCGTTGTCCGGAATAACTTCTATCATGCATGCCTTCAAATACGTAGCAATCTTGGTTCTTATAAAACTGCTCGCACTAGTTAATTACCTCTTTCTAGCAACAGATTTTCCTATCCGAAGTGTTAATCTCCTCTATATCAGTGTTATCTGCGAAATTGTTTTCATGGTAGCCCTAGAAAAACCTAAGTGACCATTGTCCGAGTCTTGTAGTGGATAAACTGTAGTTCTTGATGAGCCTGCGCCCTCTCTAAAAGCTAGATACGGAACATGTAAGAGCACAGCGATAAAAAAAATCACTTTATGCACGACTTAATGGAATATCCACGAGAAAATGGTACAAAAAACACAACAGACAACAATAGATTGATACACAGTATTAGGGAATGCTTCAGCTGTAGTACAGATTATCAGGCAAAATCAATCTGTCAAACTACACTATTTTCTGCATTCTTCAACCAAACCTACTTGTAGAGCAGCTGTATGAACAAGTAGATAAATTTCAGACATTATTACATTATCAAGACGTAAATACATTTGAACGCAAAAAAAAATACGATAGCGACTATAGCCAATACGATAGGTAGCGATTATAGCCACATACATTAGAATTATTGGTGCTGTAAAGGACCAAGAGAATCACAAAAAGACAATGGTTTTAAGCTTTTTCTCTATGTAATTTCATAACATGATGTTTAATTAATCTTAGACTGATACTATACGCAATAAATAACAAAAATTCCGCTTTTGAAAATCAACTCGCATGATATCGCGAGGGCGTTAATTTCAATATTCATAACGTCGACGGCTGAAAACATCAGCAATTCAAAGTGGAAGAAAATCGAGAATAATTTCTACCTAGCTTCGAAAAAATTTACCTGTATGGATCATAGCTGCTTCGACCATAAGAGGGTTCATAACTGCTTGGTCCACCTGAAGCATAACAATGAAAATAAACTAGGCAGCAAGTCATATGGTAAACCCACCATAAGACGACCTGCTATATCCGTAACCTCTCCCTCTGGGCTCGCGACTCTTCAGAGCCATTTCACTGTAAGTCGAGATACAGTATTAGGTCTCTAAACAACAAAATGAACGTACTCCATCATCTCTCTTTTCAGCATTCTGTCGCGCAATTCAGCTTCATAACGTGCATCATAGGAAGCTGTGGCGTCATAGGCGCGGTCGAAGGTATCGTAGCGAGCACCACCGCGTCCTGGAAACATAACAGTGCAGGAAATGAGAATACTGTAAGAAAGACATCTCAAACCCCTATAGAATCCTCTTCCGATTCGCGCAGCGCCGCGGATGGCACCACGATAGGCGCTTCCACGAATCGTCGACCCACGAGGCTTCTTGCTTGACAGCGAAGTCTTCAGACTCTCAGAAGCAGGACGTTTTGCTGCAAGCAGATTCTGAGAGTTTTCGAAATCTGTAAGTATTCTTGAGCACTACATAATATTTGATGACTAGTTTGGAATTCAAAAAGTTTCAAAGGTAATGCCTAAACGATAATTACCTCCTCTTCTAGCATTTTCCAAGGATATCTTTCTCTTGTCCCAGCGTGTAATAAGAGATCCAAAATGAGGTTCCACTGAAAGCTGATCACAGATTACAAGCGAAATTCACACAATTAAGACTACCGGATGTCGATCTGCTGTCTCGTGGGTTCAACAAAAGAACATAAGTATTTGAACGTTACCTCCACGAAGGAATACGTGAGCTTTGCAATCTTTTCCGTTTTCATCCTTTACAGTAACGAATGAAAATGAAGAATGTACTTTGATAGCATCATCAACATTACTCATAGTAACGACAGCACATGGCTGCCTAAATGATTATGTAGTCAGAGTTGGTAGATCACTAGCTCTCATCGGAGGGTAACGTCACAAAACCTACCCTAAATCGTCCTTCACATTCTCAATTTCGGCTGGGACATAAGGAGCGAACAATTCCCGAGCTGCATCCATAGTAAGCTGAATTATGTGATGCGATCAAATTTTGTCAAATAAAAGACAAAGAAGCGGATCTCTCTAAAATTTACCTCAAAATTATGTGGAAGCACTTTCAGTACTAGCTGATGCATCCTTCGAGTGGGCTGGATTACGCGGCCTAATTTCCCTTCGAACTCTTCTTTGAGCTTCATAGCCGAAGGTGCTAGACTCATTTTGGTAAGACAGCACTTATAAACAAAGGCTAATTTCGTAGACATACTCTGAGGTAAAAATATCTTGATACGGCGACCCTGAGGGCAGCGGACATAGATGAGGTGGCGCATGGCTTCCGTCATAATCTGCATGCTCCATTGAAATGTCATAGTGATTTTGCTAAAATGAAAACCAAAGAAAATAAAAAAGGCATGGGAATTCAAGAGGCAAACTCACCCGTACATCTGCTTCGACCCTTCTATATTGAATCGCATGGGAAAACTTATGTCTACCGTCTCAGCTTTCAGCATCACGCGATATATAAAAACGTTATGAAGATCAGCCCAGAAGATGTTCTCAATGATAAGACGTCTGGTATCTGCTGGAGTTGGACACACTGAAAGCATGCATGAGCAGATCCGAATCCATAATCTATAAGTGATAACAAACATTTCCACTGGAACTCCGGGGCCCCTTCCCAAGAGATTTCAAAGGGAGCTTCGAGATCTTCGTCGACATATGTTTTTCTTTTGGACCTCGATGTCGCCGATTCATCATCTTCAGCTAAAGTGTGTATATGGGTGGCAAACAATGCCTTTTGAGACAAATCCAGATACAAAGCGTTCCAACAGACAACAATTGAAATGTTCTTCTGTCTTTAACTTTTTGAAATTCGTAAAAGAAGCTGGCAACTACCTCCATGGTGTGAATCCATATAATCGTCACCATGCCCATCTCCAAAGCTTGTTTCACCACGATTGGACTCAGCTTTGTCTTTCTCAGACTTATCGTCTTCACCGGCACCGTGCTCTTCTGCACCCTCGTCATCTTCACCGACATCATCGGCGATTTCGAGATCTTCATCGATGTCAACGAATTCTCGTGGTATACTATTCAGTATATCAAGTTTAATAGATGAATCTGCAGCCAGGTTCCTCTGGGCATATACACGATGTTTGTGTACCCGTGATTTGAACGATATAATTGCACGTAGAGCCAAATCCTAAATCAGTTCATTCGCTCTTTCGATCCGCAGACCGTCTTTAAAATATGCGTCCAAATCTTTTTATTTCTGAGGCAGTCTCCTACATCAACTTTTCAATAATGTCATATTTTGACTGTCTCATTTCGTATGCTGAATAATTCATGGTGGAGGTAAATATTTGATTTTCTGCGGAACTACAGATCAGATTTGATTTGATATCTGACCATTTGAGATTTGAATCTATCAAGGTTGCAAAGTCTCGTTAATCTTTGATCAGACAGAAGACAAGCGCAGAAGAGCTAGGAATGCAAAATTGATTCCCATTTCATTCTTTTCTATCATACAAACTCAAAGCACATAACTGTGATGACTGACAATAATATATCATTCTTATCTCTTTCTTTTCCCACTTGACACAGTTCAGGAGCAATTTAGCTCTTTCATTTGCATTTGCAAATTTTGGTACGGCAAGAAACCCTCACAAAAACAACTCAGCTTTGACACAAAACTATTAAGACATCTGCATAAATCCATAAGTCGAGATACACCCCTTGCGCTCAGTGATCATAATTAGATCACTGACGATATAAGACAGTGGTTATCAGGTGACCACTCCCTTTAAGCGTTTTCCACACTGATCTAATCGACACTTCTCTTGCTTTCTTTGTGCCCCCAAAACATACCCCACAGATACCCGCGATGTGGTACTGTTTATGAGCTACCACTGTGCAAACTATGCACTGTATTCATCATCGAAAACAAAACCCTGCTCACAAAATCAGATCTTCTTCCGCCTCTTTGGAGTGCGAAAGTAACAGACAGATTTGAAGAAGGATAGCGATGTATCCTTCTGACAGCTTCACCAATGCTGCTTCAAACACTACTGGCCTTATCCACATACTAATTATATTATGTTAAACTAACCGGATTTTCTGCATCAGGCTGTAGTTTAGGTATACGAACAACCTGCAAAACATATGTTGAGTGAGTGACAAGAATAGCAAAGTTGGATAAACCTTTTCCATGGCGTCAAGGGAAACTTTGAAGTCTTGGGAAATCCAGTCCATAATGCAACTCTTGAAGACATCATACGTATCAGTAAGAAAAGCTGTCGGAATGCACGAAAGAAGTAGACACCTGCAAAAAGTAGACGATAGAAGAATAGCGCATAACTCACACAAATGAAATGAATGTCGCTATCAAAAGGAGAAATACATTGACAAGGCCATATTAAGATTGAACGAGCTCGCCTGCTCAGATCGAGTTGACGTGGATCTCCTCCATGATTGGCAAATACATCTTCTGTCTCTTGTACTTGTTCCTCGCCCCTTGAACCGTTTTCATGCTCAACATCCTCATCATAATCCTCCATTGTTTCATCCTGCTAAACAAGACTGAATTACCGTAAAAGCTGCAAGTCTAAAACTTACCTGGTCGGAATCTTTTTCAGCACCATTTAGCGTGGCATCATCTTCAGCAAGCATGCTAAAGATTGAGTATCACAATAAAAGCCGGCGTAAAAAAGGTGTGGGAGAAAGCACGAGACGGATTTGATGATCTTTTTGGAGAAAACCCCAATGCAACCAAATTCGTGATGTGGAGCAAGCAGTAACAATTCGGAAAAGAATTTGGATAGACGCGGTTCAGATATTGACGGGCAGAGAGTGGTGCATAAGTGCGTAGCTGCGATGGCACGCGATAATGCAGGCTTTGCTTGAACCACTTTTTGCGTGTGGGATAGTAGACTAGCGGCCCTACGGGCCGCTGTAAGTGGGTCGGGGCAGATACATTAGTATTTGCTTAATTGGGACTGCATCTAACTATAAACGGTGTTCAAATCGCCTCTCTAGGAAGAAATAAATAAAAAATCAAGCTTCGCGGGTAGACAAAATATCTGATCTTTTCTCCCAAATGCCACCACCAGAATTTAGTTATTTGATTCAGCTTGCTTTTTCTGTTGCTTGGTTAAAATAAACATAATCGCTTCCCTAGAAGACTGACCAATGCAAACGCATGCTGGGTCTTCACTTCGGGAGCAAGGGCAAAATAAAGGACTCCAAAGATGATTGGCCGTTGAAAATCGAACAATAGGGGAAAAGCGACAGAGGGTCCCAGGGTTTGAAAGCAAAAGTTGAGGTGGTTGAAGGCCGTGGGCAATGTGGCATAAATTTCGTGGAAATCGAGCTTTTCAGTGATTTGTATGAAGATTGTGGGGGAAAACAAAACTTTTCGTTCTAAAAACTGGCCAGCCATATAGAGAACCCTCCGGAGCTCAACCAGCGAGACCACAGCTTCCATGCTGGGTCTTCATTCCGGGAGCAAAGGCATTTTCTGTGGCCAAATTTCTGTCGAAATCGATTTTTTTACGGTTTTTCGTGGAAATTGTGGGGAAAACAAAACTTTTCGTTCTAAAAACTGGCCAGCCACAGAGAGAGCCCTCCGGAGCTCAACCAGCGAGACCACAGCTTCCATGCTAGGTCTTCATTCCGGGAGCAAAGGCATTTTCTGTGGCCAAATTTCTGTCGAAATCGATTTTTTTACCGTTTTTCGTGGAAATTGTGGGGAAAACAAAACTTTTCGTTCTAAAAACTGGCCAGCCACAGAGAGAGCCCTCCGGAGCTCAACCAGCGAGACCACAGCTTCCATGCTGGGTCTTCATTCCGGGAGCAAAGGCATTTTCTGTGACCAAATTTCTGTCGAAATCGATTTTTTACCGTTTTTCGTGGAAATTGTGGGGGAAAACAAAACTTTTCGTTCTAAAAACTGGCCAGCCATACAGAGAACCCTCCGGAGCTCAACCAGCGAGACCACAGCTTCCATGCTGGGTCTTCATTCCGGGAGCAAAGGCATTTTCTGTGGCCAAATTTCTGTCGAAATCGATTTTTTTACCGTTTTTCGTGGAAATTGTGGGGGAAAACAAAACTTTTCGTTCTAAAAACTGGCCAGCCATACAGAGAACCCTCCGGAGCTCAACCAGCGAGACCACAGCTTCCATCCTGGGTCTTCATTCCGGGAGCAAAGGCATTTTCTGTGGCCAAATTTCTGTCGAAATCGATTTTTTTACCGTTTTTCGTGGAAATTGTGGGGGAAAACAGGACTTTTCGTTCTAAAAACTGGCCAGCCATAGAGAGAGCCCTCCGGAGCTCAACCAGCGAGACCACAGCTTCTATGCTGGGTCTTCATTCCGGGAGCAAAGGCATTTTCTGTGGACAAATTTCTGTCGAAATCGATTTTTTTACCGTTTTTCGTGGAAATTGTGGGGAAAACAAAACTTTTCGTTCTAAAAACTGGCCAGCCATAGAGAGAGCCCTCCGGAGCTCAACCAGCGAGACCACAGCTTCCATGCTAGGTCTTCATTCCGGGAGCAAAGGCATTTTCTGTGGCCAAATTTCTGTCGAAATCGATTTTTTTACCGTTTTTCGTGGAAATTGTGGGGAAAACAAAACTTTTCGTTCTAAAAACTGGCCAGCCACAGAGAGAGCCCTCCGGAGCTCAACCAGCGAGACCGCAGCTTCCATGCTGGGTCTTCATTCCGGGAGCAAAGGCATTTTCTGTGACCAAATTTCTGTCGAAATCGATTTTTTACCGTTTTTCGTGGAAATTGTGGGGGAAAACAAAACTTTTCGTTCTAAAAACTGGCCAGCCATACAGAGAACCCTCCGGAGCTCAACCAGCGAGACCACAGCTTCCATGCTGGGTCTTCATTCCGGGAGCAAAGGCATTTTCTGTGGCCAAATTTCTGTCGAAATCGATTTTTTTACCGTTTTTCGTGGAAATTGTGGGGGAAAACAAAACTTTTCGTTCTAAAAACTGGCCAGCCATACAGAGAACCCTCCGGAGCTCAACCAGCGAGACCACAGCTTCCATGCTGGGTCTTCATTCGGGAGCAAAGGCATTTTCTGTGGCCAGACCCGGCATGGAAGCTGTGGTCTCGCTGGTTGAGTTCCGGAGGGCTCTGTCTGTGGCTGGCCAGTTTTTAGAACGAAAAAGTTTTGTTTTCCCCCACAATTTCCACGAAAAACGGTAAAAAAATCGATTTCGATAGAAATTTGGCCACAGAAAATGCCTTTGCTCCCGGAATGAAGACCCGGCATGGAAGCTGTGGTCTCGCTGGTTGAGCTCCGGAGGGCTCTCTCTGTGGCTGGCCAGTTTTTAGAACGAAAAAGTTTTGTTTTCCCCCACAATTTCCACGAAAAGCGGTAAAAAAATCGATTTCGATAGAAATTTGGCCACAGAAAATGCCTTTGCTCCCGGAATGAAGACAAAGCATGGAAGTTGTGGTCTCGCTGGTTGAGCTCCGAAGGGCTCTCTCTGTGGCTGGCCAGTTTTTAGAACGAAAAGTTTTGTTTTCCCCCACAATTTCCACGAAAAACGGTAAAAAAATCGATTTCGACAGAAATTTGGCCACAGAAAATGCCTTTGCTCCCGGAATGAAAACCCAGCATGGAAGCTGTGGTCTCGCTGGTTGAGCTCCGGAGGGTTCTCTGTATGGCTGGCCAGTTTTTAGAACGAAAAGTTTTGTTTTCCCCCACAATTTCCACGAAAAACGGTAAAAAATCGATTTCGACAGAAATTTGGCCACAGAAAATGCCTTTGCTCCCGGAATGAAGACCCAGCATGGAAGCTGTGGTCTCGCTGGTTGAGCTCCGGAGGGCTCTCTCTGTGGCTGGCCAGTTTTTAGAACGAAAAGTTTTGTTTTCCCCACAATTTCCACGAAAAACGGTAAAAAAATCGATTTCGACAGAAATTTGGCCACAGAAAATGCCTTTGCTCCCGGAATGAAGACCCAGCATGGAAGCTGTGGTCTCGCTGGTTGAGCTCCGGAGGGCTCTAAATAGGAAAAAAGCTGTATGTTCAATAGACTGTTTGAAAGAGCATGAAGAGCTCTTTCGAATGGTTTATCAATTTCTCTATAACTTTACGGTAAGCCAGCGCAAGAATAGGGGATGTTCAAAAAACCTTGTTCGATTTCTTCAGGGCACCACGCATAGGGTTGTGGGAGAAGCGTTGACGCTTTGCCAGAATAATAGGCGAAGGTTGGTTATGCAAGTGACGTTTGAGTTGCAGCCTGCTTGTTTCTGGTGAGAACAAAAAATCTCAAAATCTAATAAAAATCAAGCTGCCCCATTTTTTACCGATCACCCTAATAGAAGCTATGGGGTGGGTGGCTTGAATCACTTCTTTCATGATTTTCTTCCGGCCTGTAAAACCTTTATATGACAATTGAAGTTTATTACAAGTTTTCGAATGCATACCGACGTGATAGCTGAATGCCTCAGGGAGGAGTGTTATCGCCCACATTGTTTCTCATGTACACATTACATCTTTTTCAACCCGGAGTAGGCGAAAGATTCCAGGTGGAGCAGCGCGTCCGCACCGCCATTGGCTCTGCGAGATGGATTAGAATGAAGGGACGCAGACTGCAAAACGGCGCCAGTCATTGCGAAGCGGACTCTCGCCAGTCCAATTTCCGCCTGAACTAAGTTGAAACCTACTATAGGCTTTGGCTATACTTTACCCGTGTTACCGTTGCTACCAGTGTTATTCATGTTACTCGTGTCTATTTCTTTATTTATTTATGTTTATTCACTACGCACAAGGCCACGATTTTGGACAAAGAAAGACGAATCATCAAAACCTGAACAGCGACAAACAAACAACCAAAAACCATCCAAAAAAAGATTAGCTCCGGCTCACAGATGTGATGAGAATAGAGGAGGATTAAGCTTGTTTGGACCATGTGCATACAAATCATTAAGAAGCTCAGTGAAGTCTGTCTCATGCCTCCCTGCTCAGACAATCGCTGGGGGCAGGCGGGCACCGGAAAAATAGATTGCTGATTTCTCGCACCCCGCTCGCGGATTTTTTGAAAAGCAATCAAGACTTTTCGGAAGACCGCTTGCTAAGTCAGCGGATTTTTGAGAGACCGCCTGTTGAATTTTTTTCGCTCTTATCTTTTGCAGATATATTGCTGAATCTCTGAGGAATCGAGAACTCAGCAAGCGGTCTTCCGAAAAGTCCTGATTGCTTTCCAAAAAATCCGCGAGCGGGGTGCGAGAGAACAGCAATCTATTTTTCCGGTGCCCGCCTGCCCCCGTCGATTGTCTGAGTGCTTGTAGCAAAACTGCTCTCAGACTACTCAACTTAGCAACTGTATTTGGGGGACCTTGTCTGTTGATAAATATGCCCGACTTATTCTGAGGAGAGAACAGAACTCGCACATTTCTTATACATGATTTGGGATTCCCATCGCAAGTCTCTGCTGTCGAGGATTTCAATTTCTTCGAAAAATGATATACAACGAAAGGCTCCGAAATAGAGTGGAGAATTTTTGACGGCGACACTGCAAAATGTTGAGTTTTAGAGCTACAAACGTGGTCAAAATCGGATGTAAACTGGCAAAAATATGACCTAAGCATTTTGGCCTCATCCTCATCACTTAAGAAAGTGACCCCATTTTCAACCACTAACGCCGGAAGGTTGACGCTAGGCTTTGTTCCAGCTCTGACGTCATGAAATAGGCTTTTAGATGATGATTTGAGTGCAAGAGAGTTCTCGATTGTCAAAAACTTTTGCAAGTGAAAATCCATACCGGACTTTCTTGTAAAAACAGTTGTTTAGAGAGCCATGCACATTCTTAGACAGTTGTCATTTCTGCAGATTCAACGTCTACATATGAGGCGGCGCATTTAGTGCAACATTATGCTGATGTTTAGAGATTGAAAGCATGCCGAGTGCATAATAAAGTATCCTGAAAAATCTTTTATTTATTTGTTTATTTATTTATGTATTACACAAGAGTGTGGCTAAAAATAAACAACATTGTCCCTTGCTGAATGATCAGGTCGCTCTCCAACTCCAAGAAGTGAATAAAGCTCTACCGAGTTTCTTTCCCCTTACCCGAACGCAAACGAAGTAAGTATCTAGCAAGGTATGGCTGACCAACTTAACCCGAGGCGGATGAATCCGTCAGAAACTCTGGGCGAGCGAGAAGGGGAGGAGAAAGGGGGCTCCACGCAGAGTGCTCACTGGCCTTCGATCTCCTCAAACGGCTATCCCAGGCAAGGAGAACATTCCAAAACCTTTGTAAAGATTGGTAGAATTTAAAAAAGCTTATCGGTTTACAAAATACCAGTCAAAAACTTCGAATTTGTCAAAATGTCATCTTTCTCTGATATTGATCTGACATGCGTGGCTCAATCTCCGCAGCATATACGTGTACGAAGCCACCGACGGCAACCATCGTGGATGTCTGAAGCGAGGGGTAGGGACAAATGAAAACTTTTAAGCTGAGGCCCGCACGTCACGTTAGGACGGGCCAGCGACATCATCACTGTGATACATGAGAACTTCTACGTAACCTAGTCATCAATGGCAGAATAATAGTTTGTGAGTATACTCTTGTTAGCAAGTACTGGTTGTCGACAGGAAAACTTAGTTGTGATTGTTTACAGCGTCTTTGGCATGAAGTAAACTCCCAGTCTCCCGTTTGTCCCAACTCTCAAACTCAGCAGCAGCATAGAAGCGTATTGCTATGGCTGCATTCTTGGTACCATGAGCATGATTGCGAGACTGAGCAACACTATGAACCAATGGAGTGTTGCCTCATAGCTAGCATAAATTATCAAATCAATGATAAAAACGTATGCAGCAATAATTCGATGAGCTGGTGTAGTTTATTTATTCCATTTGGTGGAGCTTCTATGTCCGTGTTCCAAAGCTATGTCAATCATGCTAACAAGAGGTTTAGTCACTTTGTAGAGCATGTGCATCATCATCAAGTATATGTACATTGTGATGGAGATCATATGGCCGCCAAGGATTCCTCTACGATGTGAGCCATATCGCGTTAAAAATATGTTGCCTTCATATGGTTTGATCCCAGACGAAGTCTCAGATTCTGAAGGCATGTAGAGTAGAAATGAGAGATCCGCGATGTCAGTGAAACAAAATCTGATTATTCAGAGGATGCGCCAGGTCTTGTTGATATTGGATCTAGTCGTGAGAAGGGCGGTCTAACAAATGAAAGCAAAGAAAGCCGTGAAATGGAATCCACCGTCAGAGTGCATTTGACAGATGACCAAGGTGCCGATGGCGGCACTGTTGAGAACGTGTCTGTGGTATGTGTAGATTACAAATTCTGGCAAGCATCGACTCGGTAATTCTTTCAGTTGGTCAAAACTAGACCCAGAAGGAAAAAAGTTGAATGCACTCAAGTGAGCGAAAAGAGGAAACGTGAGGTCATTTTCGTTAAGTCTCAAAAGTAACACTAATATGTGAAACTGTTTTCAGAACACAAAAGTAGCAGTCCACCATCCGAACAAATCGTGAATTCTGTCGAGGTTGACCTAGGTTTGCGTGATGATGCAAGAAATTTGGAGACATTGCTATGCTCTTCCTCTTTTTATGGCTTAATCTTACGCTAAAGCATAAAACATTAAGATTTTGGCAACTAGGTAACAGGGCTCTGGCAGATGCTTTTGCATCATAATCATACTGCACGCAGTAAATAAAAGGGAATTGTACCGCTGTCATCAAACATAAGTCTGCTAGTGTGATCAAACGATCACACGATTACAGTACATTAGTGACTTATCACAATGCCTAAATGAAGAAGCAAAAGAGAATATCGCTTACAATACGAATCTCGTTCTTGATCACCGTAAGTAAACCGACCAAGCTCTCTAATCTCAAATCGTCACTTTTTCTTTCATGTCTTTACAATTCGGGATCATTCTTTCATACTCATTGTATTTTCAAGATAAACTAAATCTACCGTGAATTTGAGAATGCAAACCACTCCAGGCATAAACTTTTCTAATCACTCAATCAACGCTCGGTATGGATACAATAAACATATGCCCGGATGGGCTGCAAAAACGCTAGAAATTCACTCAATTTATCATTGACAGACTCAAGCCTATTCATAATGTAATTTTGTGGAAACGATTGTGCGTAGAATGTCGGCTGTTCGAAATTGAAGAAGTTCATAGCCACTTTCAAAGACTGCTGACAGGACTGAAGTCGTTCGCAAAACTGAAAAACATTAACCTCAAACCAAGTATCGCTGAAGGTTGACGCGCACGTTTGATAGAGAAAGTTTGAAGCAATTCGGTTATGTCGGAACGTCTCTGAAAACTTCACAGCAAAAGAAATTTTTAAGTCTCAGGTCTTTTGAGCTCGATTTGGCTTGATTTGTAAATAAAGGATAAACACTTCTGCTATGATAGAGATATGAAGTCCACTCGTTTGCAAACTTACACGATCGCCAAATATGCTGCGCAAATCTAAGGATCCTCAGATGGTTCTAGACGCTCTGAGTTAGTGAAGATGATGTGAATGGTTTCAATAAAAACCTTTCAGTGAAGAATTTCAAAAAAAAAACACGCTACTCATAAAGGCTACTTGAACTAAACGCCGCCGTCTTCACCAGAGTTCTGAAATTCTTACCATATCTTTCAAGCGGCTGTTCCATACCTCGGATCGAACCCAGCTTGAGGCCGCATGCATTAATATCCCCGCCAAGGACGGGATCGCAACTTAAGAGAAATCTTCATTCTTAGGTTCCAGATATCTGATTCCAAGCTGTCTACCTATCTATTCTTACTTTCCTGCACTATAAACATATTAAAAATAAGCGAGAACTCAGAGGCTTCACGGCTTGTTGGCGGCGTGCCTTACATTCTCAGACAATCAAAGGCTACGGCGAGGCGGCGATAAATAGCGTTTCAGTGAGCGGGCGGCGATATTGCGAAAGTGGCAGTGAGCGGGCGACGATACTGCAAAAATGGCGGTGAGCGAGCAGCGACGGGCTAACAGCGGGCAGCTATAATCTTCCATGAGTCAGAAATAGCTGCAGAGCGCATTCTTCCAAAAGCAGCCAGAAGGAGGCAACGAGGCAGCGACTCCGTTAGGCTGGCAGCGACCGTGAAACGATGGGGATGCGAATGCAGGATTTCTGTGAGCGAGCAGCATAAATGCTATAAGAAGGCAGCCCCAATTCGCGACGCTGTATTGTGGCTGCTAATTGGAAGCCATATTGTTGCCCTCTCGAAGTTAGATGTGCAGGAAAGCGAGATTAGCAGTTTAAACTTGCGTCACTTTTGGTTTCATTGTTGCCTCATCTTCTTTTTTCATATATATCAGTGTTAGTCGCGCATTACCTTCTTTACTTTTCTTCCTAGGCTGGGGTTCCTCGGGGTCAAACAGGACTTCGTTTTTGGGGTAGAGAGCAAAGAAGATATCGTAAAACCTGTTAAACATACATGTGAGTAACTACTTGTTCACTTCTGCTAACCATCAATTTGGTACATAAATGACATGCTCTAACGTGTTCAAAATCACGTCTATGACTTATTAATAAGGCTAAGGGTTGTTTACGTCTGTTTGTCTGTGTGTATATGTGTAGTCTGTCTGTCACGGAATTCGTAGAGCGAGTTCCAGCAAAGATCTTGAGCTAGAATTTTGGTCGTAGCACCCTATGAGCATGTAGACAAACTGTGCAAAAGCACAAGTCGATTCGCAGAAAGTTTCAAGAACTTGTGTCCCGATACGCGTTTTCCAGTTTGTTGACCATCACCAAACCAAACGGGTTGGCTCGAAGCATAATTAATGGAAAGTTCACATAATTTCTAAACCTTTTTGAATTGCACGATCAAAACGCTCAAAAATCTATTGAAGGGAGCGAATCAAAACATTGCCTCCCCTTTTTGAGCCAAAAATAGCATAAACGCAATGGTAGATATGGCGCTCCAATCACATGCATGTCTGGCCGCTTGGAACTGGCGACAATTGTTTTTTGTTCTTGTTGCTGTTTTTTTCAAATTGTTCTTGTCTTACTAATTTTCAGTGGGGACTTCGTGAGAATTTGCGAATCAATGCGGGCTTCGAAACCAACTTCAGGGCCCTGTCCAGGTCGGCACAGAAAGTTGAAGGGAACGCTGTGAGCATTCTAATCGGAAGTATTTTGAAGGGAGGAGAATACTGTGATTTTGTGCAGCTTTCGAGAAAAGGGGGTTTCGGAGACGAGCAGCTCCTTGAGTAATGAAGAATCAGTGAACAACTTGAGTTGTGGAGTTTCAGAGGGAAATCTTAATGCATTTCGGCGAAGAAAATGGGAGAGGAGAACTAATATCTTGAGTGAGAGTGAGGAGAAAATTAGGCGCCTCTAAAGCTTTGACCGAAGAAATCACTGACGCTTTAAGAAAATTTTGCACGGAAAGGAACACACAATACATCAGGCAAGAAAAGCCACAGAAAGGAGAGGTACGGGAAGGACGTTTTACAAGAAACAGAAATATTGCTCGGTTATCTTATGCGCAGGCCGAGTTTGCAGAAAAAGCGTCAGGTGTAAAGTGTGCATTATTTTCGAGAATGAGCTTCATTGAACGCGACATCTTTCTTAACTCCCAGCGATACTTTTGGTTGATTGGAACGTTCTTCCGCAAGCAGTCGTACTTTTGTCATTTGAACTATATGCGCACCATGTCTTTCCAGCAGAACTTTTCAATCAAAATATCCTATACGAAGTTTACTAGCGTCTAAATCATTGGAAAAGTCGTATACGAGGCTTCGATGACCCAGTACAACATTTTTTACACCTGATAGCCATTGGGCTTCTAGTCTTGATGGGAATCACATGAACACATTTCCACTCGCTACCATTAAAAATTGGAGAAAATGCGGATAAAAAGAATTGAGTTCTAATTGTAACGGCGACTAATTTTGGAATTGACTTTAGAAATCCTATCATTTAGGAAAAGTTTTGATAACAGAAGATGTGGCGCTTCTACAAATTCACACAGTAGGAAGTACGCTTAAGTTTGAACGAATCCGTCAGCCACGAATGAATGAAAGCCGTCGTTTTACGGAGGCATAGTTAACAACTTCCTTTCATAGAGTACATAGAAAAGCCAAGCACCCAATTGTCTGTGCCCAAGACGGAACAGCTTGTATGATTTGTAAGGTTTTTTTTTGATAAAAATATACACCTCACACAATTTGATGTGCTTACTTCCAGGGCTCGGCAAGAGATGTTATCCGAATGCAAAAGCATCAACCTGATTTTCGCAAAATTTTACGAAGTCCCCTTTGACCCTTATCCGAAATATTCGTGGTCTAAAATACCCAATTTTGAACCCACAAAAACTATGCTTCACTTTTTATCCCAAATACGATATCCAGGTTGCTTATAAGCCACCTGTGCCGAGCTCTACTTACTCCTTGTCTACGATGTACTCAGGATACTCTCAACGAGCCGAAAACTTTAGCATCAGGTAGTGTTATGTTCACAATGTGATGCTAACCTCCGCGAAGCGGAGGTGACGCACTGCTAATTCTGTGGTAGCGAGAAGCCATTTTGATTCGCTCTACACTGTAAATCTAAGCTGAAGCTGTTTTACTGATTGGCACTTGAGGCTAGGCGACAGGCCTTGTGAAAAACCAACGAGTAGCTTGCTTACCCGGCTTCGCCCGGCCCTGTCAAAACACTATGATAAAGGTCCCACCCCTACCCCTGTACAACCTTTTCCTGTGCTCACTTCTACATCCCAACTCCAGCTCCCTATTTCCGCTGTATTAGTAATCAGCATACTCACTTACCCCTCTGTGTTAACTCCCAGCCCCACAGATTAAACTTCACAAAAAATCGATAAAATCGATATCTCGATGACGAAAGGTAGCCTACGACACCCGCCCCTCCCGAAGTGTATGCGTGCCATGTTTGGTCCGGATCGGTTCAGAAATAAAAATTTCTGTTGGAACATACGTACATACAGACAGACAGGCATACGAACAGACATTCAACTTTATATATAAGATCAAAGAGCGTGTACTTGTTTTTGGGGGCGATTTGGGGCGCTCAGTCATCAAAACTCGTATGCTTAGTTTTACGAATGTTTACAAAAGTTGGAGTATTAGGAATAATTCATTAAACCGTTGCCGCGTTACTGCTAGACCGCAAATACCATCTGTGGTAGATTGGAGAAGAATAAAGCATGATACCACAACCAGAGCTCGTCATACAGTGCTACTTCAGACGTAAAACTGTGAGTTTGAACAAACAGAAAGCAATATCATATTTGAACTTTCTTGATTGCGACTATGACACGAGCATGAATTTTCTGTTGAAGAAGTATCTTTACATTATCAAGTAAGCACATTTATGAATTGCGACTGTTCCTCACGAAAAACCTGAAGCGTTTCTTATCACTTGAAGCCAAAAGCTTCTTTCTTAATTACGTCACAAAAACTTGTAGTGCCCAGCTTCTAAACATGCAGGCTTTGAAAAAATTCGCAGTCTTAAAGGAATGCCTGTGCAAAAAGTTTATTCTCAAACTTTGTGCTTAATCGGGCCTATTCGCTATGATGAATCCTCTAAACGCGCGAAAACGGCGAAAAAGGGCTCTAACGCAGGAGGGAAATCAGCAAGTGGACGGGATTTTCCTCAATGTGCATTCACGATTCCAGCTTGAGAAGCAATCTTCTCGTTCTGATCTCAAGTCACGCGTTTGCACTTGGCCGTGAGCGATGTTAGACCGACTAGCGAAATCGGCAAGATCGCTCCGAAAGCTGGGAGCATAAATTCACAGTCGAGAAGACCCCGCCCAACTACTGATTTCCCTCCTGCGTTAGTGCCCTTTTCGCCGTTTTCGCCTCTACAGTGTGTATTTTCAGATTTAGCGTAGCAAATAGGCCCAAATAAGAAGAAAATCTCAAAATGACTTCTTGCCGAACACTGCCTTCAAGCATAGCGAGCATCATTTTCGTAATCAGCATGTCAGATAAACCCCATGGTTCAAGCTTTGGCGATTTTTGAAGCTCCCAAATACTGCGTTACCTAGCAAAAATCGTCATTTTTAGTGAGTTTTCTATGCCCTTTTGCACTCAGTACAAAGTACTACTCCTTATTATTGTACGCTAAACGTTACACTTCAAATAACCTGCAAACAATGGAATTAGAAATCAGCCAAAATCTTGATCAGCGCATAAAAGTTTTTATTGAAGGTGAGTTAATGGGGTATGGCACAACCTCCACAAAGCGTGGTCACACCTTTGTTGGCGTTGTGCCGCACCCCACTAGCTTACCCTCAGGGTTGAGCCAGAGTGCGCAGCGAACGCGGCGTACGCTGCGTACGCCGCGTACGCCGTGAGGTCTGGCTCAACCCTCAGAACATGCAAACGTTTAGCTTTTTTTTCTCCTTGTCGCGGTTACGCGATCTTTGGGCGAGCTCAAAGTACGGTAAGCGCAGTTATTGCTGTGAAATCTGATAATAGGGAAGCATCGCGCTTCTCAAAACATGACTGCGCGAAAGATTTGCGATTGTCTATGAGAAAATAAGAGAGTAAAGAATTATTAAGTGGTATCAAGGCAGCCTTCTCAAAGCGTTTGTCATTGATAAAGTAACTTGCTACAACGTATATATAGAGAGCAAGAATGCTTAGTTATGGTTGTTAACTGCTTCGCAATCGTTTTGTCTTTCATGCATACTTTCTCTTTTGTATATTTTTGCGATTGCATCATTTTTATGATTTTTCTCCTGTGTATATATTTGCGATTGCTTCATTTTTGACATATTTCTGATCGTGTTCGTATGTTGTTGTTTTTATATACTTTTGCCAATAAAGGTTTAATTACCCAAGTTTGAGGTGTTCGATCGATGAACAATGCCCGCGTGGCCAGGTGGTAAGGGGATATCAAGACCCCATTTTATGGTGCATCGGGGACCACAATCCGGACAACAGGTACGATTTCCTTGTCTTTGGTTTCCCTTTTAGTGTATTTATTTCTTTCGGTATTTTCTTTGTTTTTTTTCTCGATTTTTTGATATCTTGAATATTTTTGCAATTGTGTGCGATTGTATAGCGAATTTTGCGATGGGGGGGGGGCAGTACAATTGAAATCACAAAAGGGTCTGCTGACGCGCTATACAAATATTTTGAACCAAACTATTGCAAAATATTCGCAAGAAGAAGAAATCTCGAACAATTTTCTGTTAAAAACCTCCCACAAACCAGTGCAGTATCTAAACTACTCAGGGACTCGCGCCGTGCGGGCGGCCAGCGACGAACTTACGATCGCTCGTCGGTGTGTGCGATTGTACGGTCGTCAAGGGCCGTTGGCACGGTTAACGTGGGGCGCCCGCACGGTCACAAACGAAGATCGAGTTACCAACCATACCCATTCCCACATTCAGTGGAAAACTTAGTGAGTTTAAAAACTACTGGACTCTTTTTAACGCAAATATCCATAACCAAAAGCTTTCAAACCTACAGAAGTTTAACTTTCTCTTACGAACACTTTGAGGGGAGGCTTGTAATAAAATTGTGTATGATTTGCAGATCAAATTAGATAAGGCGACTGCGAAAAGTCCCCATATCGCTGATCAAAGAAGACTACTGGAATATCTGATTGCATTGACCATGCAGTTAGAACAGAAAGACGTTTTTTGAACAGGTTTTACGTCATCCAAAAAGTCCTGCGAAAATTCAATCAGAACCTTCAGAGAAAGGTCGTGAAATCGCAGGTAGAAAACAATGAGGGAGACTGGTCAATGAGACGAGTTCTCGACCAGTTAGATAAAATAATAACGTCGGAAGAGGAAGTATTGGACATATTAAAAAATGACGATACATTACAGGGACAGATGAAAACAGGGTTCCAACGAAAATGGAAAAATCCTCCTGTTTATCTTCCAAGATGTCTTTATTGTAATGCAGCAAATCATAGCTCTTTGAATTGCACTAAATTTTACACCGTACAAAAACGAACGGACTATTTGATAAAAAATAAAAGATGCCTTAACTGTGCGAGACCAACTCACTTTGTGAGAGATTGCAACAACAAAGCATGCAACTTATGCGAGGGTAAAAAACATCATTTTTCCCTCTGTCCCAAAAGACTGTCTAAACCATCTGAAAGGTCACCGATGCCAAGAGGTGTAGCAGCTCCAAATCAGTTCTCCAAAAGAAACAGAACTGAAGTGACAAGAACGACGCAATATCAAAATTGCACTATTTTCACAGGATCAAA